CACCAGCACCAGCACCAGCACCAGCACCAGCACCAGCACCAGCACCAACACCAACACCAACACCACCAACACCTCAATAACAAGTAAGCGACCCATAATATTGTGATTATATTGCAGCGATCTCAACGCAGTGTTTCGATACGAAATGCTTGGTTTACAGCCACTGAAAGGATTCTCTCCCTTGAGACTTCCTCACTTCGTTCATCCATGATTATTGGCTTCGGACTCTAATTCCTATCACGCTCAAACAAACAGCTAGTCTCGTGATTTGTGATTATACAAGCCCATATAATTATTAGTTACTATCACTGGATTTCCTTTGCTTCAACTCTGTCAGGTCAGATTTATAGAATATAGATGTATTATTATAGTGTTTGGATCTCATCATACCATACCTGAATCATTTATTAGAGGATCAACCATCCTGAATTGAATTGTATCATCAGGTTCAATCTGAAACTTCAGCCGCGTCTAGAACGGTAGTGTCGTCGGACACGTCGAAGGCCGCTCCAGCAACCTAAATCATTTTTACTTGACGCTTCCTTGACAAATGAAGCGTCCTTCAAGGCGGCGTTTTACATCTACACTACGCCTTATGGTATACGCTAATCTTCAGCACACATCTCATGAGTAGGTCATACTAAGTTACACCGCCTCTATACGACTCAAGGGCCAAAAAGGAAAGATAGCAGCACAAGCGCTCCTCTACGAAGTAAATCTAGTGGCTAGCGAATTCACTGATCTTGGTCGCTATTAGCAAGTGATCAAACTAATCAGGATATAAGTGTTCCATCGCATAGAACAGACCACTTGTGGAAGACGACGTAGATTATAGCATTTATCCAAAAGGGCCCAGGGCTCAGCGCTCAGTAATCGGCAGTTGCTCCCGAATCACTACCAGAATACGTTTCGTCCGAGGAATGTTGATCAAGGTTAAAAACAATCTGATCCAAGGACAAATCAGGAGTCTTTTTACGGCTGGGATCTTCCTTCTCTGCATTGTCGTTTTCGAAGAACCAGTCACCATAATTGAGAAGAAGTTCCGTTCCAGGAGGGATATAGCAGTCTGG